GCGCGGGGAACAAAGGCGCTGCTGGGCCGCGCCAAGGGGGCGCCCGGGGGCCGCGGGGCGGGTGCTGGGGCCTCGGGTGCTGCCTCCGCAACCCGATCGCGGAGGCCCGCGGTGTTTTTCGGGGGGGGCGAGATGTGGGGAGATTCTGGAGTGGGGGGGCGTCCACACAAAGCGGGAGTCTGGAAAAATAGGCCGTCCAGGTGCGGAGAGGCAGCGCCCCAATGCCGGCTGCACGGTTCGCCCGGCCGGGATCCGCGACCTGGAGAGGTTCTGCGCGGAATGAAGAGCGCGCCCTGGGGGAGGGGGTGGGGGTCCCGGACCCCTGCGCCTCCTGCTGGCTGTGGGCGTCCCAGCGCGCCCAAGAGGGGCGAGGGCGAGGTAGGATGGGGTGAGGCGGAAGCCAGACTCGGGTTGCTGTAGACCCTGGTGGTGGACTCCACCGCCTGCCTGGGACCCGCGAGGGGAGAGGGAGAAGAGCCCCAGCCCTCACTGCTATCTCCTCTGCCCTGCAGGAGAATGGCCACGTGAAAACCAATGGAGACTTGTCCCCCAAGGGGGAGGGGGAGTCGCCCCCCCTGGACGGAACAGATGAAGCAGCTGGGGCCACTGGCGATGCCATCGAGCCAGCACCCCCTAGCCAGGGAGCTGAAGCCAAGGGAGAGGTCCCCCCCAAGGAGACCCCCAAGAAGAAGAAGAAATTCTCTTTCAAGAAGCCTTTCAAATTGAGCGGCCTGTCCTTCAAGAGAAATCGGAAGGAGGGTGGGGGTGATTCTTCTGCCTCCTCGCCCACAGAGGAAGAGCAGGAGCAGGGGGAGATCAGCGCCTGCAGCGACGAGGGCACTGCCCAGGAAGGGAAAACTGCTGCCACCCCTGACAGCCAGGAGCCCCAAGCCAAGGGGGCAGAGGCTAGTGCTGCTTCCAAGGGAGGAGACACAGAAGAGGAGGCAGGGCCCCAGGCTGCAGAGCCGTCCACTCCCTCTGGGCCAGAGAGTGGCCCTGCCTCTGCCAGCGCTGAGCAGATCGAGTAGCTGGGTGGGGGCAGGTGGGTGATCTCTAAGCTGCCAAAAACTGTGCTGTCCTTGTGAGGTCACTGCCTGGACCTGGTGCCCTGGCTGCCTTCCTGTGCCCAGAAAGGGGCTTGTTGCCCTCTCCCAGCCACGTCCCCCTCCTCTCCCTCCTGTGGATTCTCCTATCAGCCATCTGGTCTTCCTCTCAAGGCCAGTTGAAGATGATCCCCTGCGGTTTCCCAAGTTAGGTTAGTGATGTGAAATGCTCCTGTCCCCACCCTCCCTGTCCCCACTCCTACCCAAGGCAATTGCTGGTTTTCTTCCCAATTCTTTTCCCAAGTAGGTTTTGTTTCTCCTACTCTCCAAACCCCTGAGCCAGAAGTGGGGTGCTCCCAAACCCTGAGTTTCCAGCCTTCCCCCTGTTGAGTTTAGTCTCTTGTGCTGTGCCTAGTGGCACCTGGGCTGGGGAGGACATTGCCCCCGTCTAGGTTTTTATAAATGTCTTACTCAAGTTCAAACCTCCAGCTTGTGAATCAACTGTCTCTTTTCTGACCTGGTAAGCAAGTATTAGGCTTGGGGTGGGAGGGAGGTCTGTAATGTGAAACAACTTCTGTCTTTTTCTCCCGGTGTTGTAAATAACTTTTAATGGCCAAAACCCCAGATTTGTACTTTTTGTTTTTTTTTCTAATTGCTAAAACCATTTTCTTCCACCTGGATTTACTGTAACATTTGGAAAAGGAATAAATGTTGCCCCTTTAGTGGTGCTTTCATGAGTGGTCTGGGGTAGGGCAAGGAGACTAGAAACCTCAAGTGTGGAGACAGGTAAGTTCTAGGTCTTCTGTGGATATGGTTACCCAAAAGGGACACAAGACATGACAGGGAAGTTCCGACCAGCTGGGAAACAAGCTCAGGAGGGTGTAGAAATGTGCCATTTTATTACAAAGTCTCACAAAAATGAAAGTATCTCAAAAAGGAAGCTAGACTAATAAAACCTCTGCCTGCAGAATTGGGGGGAGATGGGGCAGTGAGAGTTTCTCAGCTCACCTGAGACCAGTGGGAAGGTATAAACAAAACCAATCTAAAAAATGTCTGATGTTACCTAAGCCTGAAAAGAACAAGGGTCCCAGAAGACCCAACCCCCCCTTCTAGAAAGCTTAATAAGGGCAATCTTTCCTAAGCAGGCACTTGGCATTCAGGATTTTTGTCTTACAGTTGTACTCAAGACCTGTACCCTGTACGGTTCAGAACTAAGACCTGGGGAAGGACAGGCAAGGCAGCTGCTGGAAGACTCCCCCCGACCCTCTTGCCCTGGGCTCTGGTCCCTGGTTCCTATCTAGTCCCTGGGGACATTATATTTAATATATTTTTTTATATAAATACACAGAGAAATAGAAAATATAAAATCTGAGGGATTGGGGAAACGTGAGAAACTTTGTGCAGATCTTGCTCAGGCCAACTTGACCTCCTCTTTGATCCTGTGGAAAGAACAGAAACTGGCATGAGATAACCCACCCCAGAAGCCTTGATTTCCACAGGGCCACCCAGGTGACTATGGGCTAAAGCCTCCTAGCTCTGCCTAGGACTGCAGAGATACAGACTGGTCCCTGAAAGGCCTTTGTAAGCAGGACCAGCTGTCCCAGTGCCTTCCCTCTCAAGAGTGATGGGACAAAAGGGGGTGATGCTCCAGTGTCAGAGAAAGGGCCAGCTCCTTCCTCACCCTTTGGCTTCTGGCTTCTCCTCCTTGGTTTTCTCCTCTTCTGTAACTTCTAGAACATAGAGTGCAGGGATGGTTAGGGCCTCATCTGAAAAGACCCAGGGAGTCTTACCTGGAAACCCCTTCCCCAACATTACCGCTCACAGACCATAGAAAAGTCCATCCCAGTCCTCCCAGAGCACAGCTGAAAACAAACAGGTTAGACCAGTTTCCCAGCCTCCTTCAGTCAGAACCCAGTAGGCGGGGGCAGCCCCCTGGGAAACTGGGGTGAAGTGCTGGGAAAAGGTCTTGGGTGGTATGTGAAAGCCAGGCTTAATCACCCAGTAGTTTTATGGTTTTGTGGGCCACACCATTTCTGGGAGCCACTGAAAGGCCCCAGGGTGCCCAGTCCTGGCCCAATCCAAACCCACCTTTCTTCTCTTCTGGATCTTTTTCTTTTTCGTCTTCTGTTTTGACTCTTTTGGCTTTTTTGAAATTAGAAGAATTCTTTCGACCACCTTCTCCTTCCTCATCTGAATCAGAGAATTCTTCTTCACAGGCAATTCGTTTATCAGAAGAGCAGACTGGGAGGCAGTGGATAGAAAATATTTGTGAGTGAACAGAGGCCTGTTTTATCTCAGGATCTGTGTCCAAGAGACTGTGTGGACTGGGTGGATAGCTCAGTGATAAAGTATCTAGTATGTGCAAAAGCCATGGGTTTCACCCCCGGTACCTCCCACTCCCCAAATACACCAGGGAATGATACCAAGACAGGGAAGGGAGGAAACTCAACTTGTTTCTCAACAGCTTGTAGCAGCTTGGGGGAAATGAGAACAGTGGAAGAAGTTTGAGCTGCCTAATGAGTGGGAAGGTCTTACTAGAAATGCGTTTGTCGGGGTCTTCTTCGTCCTCATCACCACTCTCCTCTGGGATGGCATCCTCAGGTATCGCCTGCATTTGAACCCCAGGTGCATGGGGCAGCATTCTCAAGTTCTCAAAGAGCCGCTGTCTGTATTAACAGGAGAGACTGCTTAGAGACAAACCAGAGCCTGGAATGTTCAATCAAGGAGGCTGGCAATATACTCACTTGATCTTTTCCAGGTACTCATTAGTGTTCTGGTTAGTCATATTGGAAGGACTGATGTGAAGCTTGAAATCTGGTCCAAAGTATTCAAAGTAGTCATTGTACGGCAGCTCTGAGGGGGTAAAGGAGAGGAGAATCAAGAGACCTAGCCACCATGGGAACCAAGGAAGAGCAATTAGGGTTTCTGAGACCATTTACCCACCTACAAAAGCAGAATGCCTCTAAGACATTCTAGGGCAAGACTTAGGTGCCTACAGAATTTTATTTGGTCTTTTTGAGGCAGGGCTTCTTTGTAGCCCCAGCTGGCCTGGAACACACTATGTGGACCAGGCTAGCCTCAATCTCACAGAGACCCTCCTGCCTCTGCGTCCCGAGTGTTGGGATTAAAGGTGTGTACCATGCCAGGCTTATAACACCATTTCTCTATTGTAGGAGAGGAAGTACCAGGTACCTAGTAGAGACCACTAAGCAATGCTCATCAAGAGCACTTCTTTTCACTAACCAGGTTATCCTACAGAACAGAAATCCCAAACCTCCAAATAATCACCCATAATGTCCAGACCAAAAATAGAGGGAAAGAAGAGTAGGGAAAAAACTGATGGCTACAGTCTGCCAATGACAAGAGGAATAACCAGTGTGAGAGGAAGAAAGGTCTTTTTAAAGAGGTTGTAACAAAGGTCACATGGACTTCAGCGCCCACCCTGCCCAACCTGGGCTAGGAGCTAATACCATTAGGGATCTCGGTGTCCAGGGCAACAGCTGTTTCATATGTCCAGCACCGGGCAACATTGCGAATGGTGTAACCACCTCCTCCCAGCATCAGCATAGGCAAGTTGAAGCTCTTGACAAATTCCACACACTTGGCATGCCCTTTGGAAAGAAAAGGGGTGCTAGTTTACGGGGAGCTGGCAGACCCTGCCCATCCATGCTTGTGCTACCCAGTCTCACCTTTGATGGTCAGATTGAAGCAACCTAACCGATCCCCAGACAGGGAATCTGAGCCACACTGTAAGACCACTGCACTCGGCTGGAACATCTCCATTACTTTGGACATGACCTAAAAAGATAACACCCTGGTCACCACCAAACTCAAGAAACGCCATGTGAGGTTCGGGGGTGGAAAGAGTAGGTGCAGCACTTTCCTCTGTTTCATCACCCATTCCTCCCTTTCCATTCTTCCTCATGCTGTACGGGAGACAAAAGAGATTTCCAATTTGAATGGATCTGTCAAGATACTTGTTGCTGTAATAACTGAACCTGGAATGGCCTTCCTGTTAATTCCCTTATCTTTTCCTTCTTTCACTGCAAGCTCCTGTGCCACTTCCTCTAGGAAGCTTCCCAACCTTCAGCTGCATCTGCTCAACTCATCTGGCCTTGCAGACTTTGAACCTTGTAAGGAGGTGATTTTTTTTTTCGGTCTTTTTGAGGCAGGGTCTCCCTGTAGCCCCAGCTGGCCTGGAACTCACAGAGATCCGCCTGCCTCTGCCTCCCAAGTGCTGGGATTAAAGGCTTGTACCACCACGCCTTGCTAGGAGGTAATTTAAAAAAAAAAAATTGTTATTTTTTATTTTATTTTATGTGTATGCGTATATTGCCTGCACATAGGTAAGTGCACCCGTGTCATACAATGCCGGAGGAGGTCAGAAGAGGCTGTCAGATCCCCTGGGACTGGAGTTACGGACAGTTGTTAGCTGCCATGTGGGTGATGGGATTTGAACCTGGGTCTTCTGCAAGAACAGCCAGTATTCTTAACTGCTGAGCCATCTCTCCTGCCCTGGAGGCGATTTATTCCTGTATATTTTATTTTCATAACTAAGCATCTTATGTTACTCAGGAGACTGTAACTCAAACCTTTACTACTAGGCACATAGTAGACATTTGTTTGCTAAGTGAACGCCTAACGTATGTTATACTCTATGAACATTTTTTCACTGCTTATTTCTAAGTAAACACTTAATACCTCAGCATGGCATTCAAGGTTTCTTTTGTACAGACCCTAACAGTAGTTTTTTAAAATGTGGATTCAACAACCATCTCCTACCACCACTTTCTGATTCTCCCACACACTGTGATGACCTACCTACCATTCAGTTCATACTGGCACCTCTACAAGTTTCTGCTGATATTCCCTGTCCAATGCCATCCCTTCAGCTTCCACCTCTTCACCTGGGTACCGCTTCACTTTCAAATTCAAGCTCAAGTCCCCCAACACCCCCCAAAGCATCCTTGACTACTTTCTCCCTAGCCTAGGCAGTTGTCTCCTCTATTCTCCTCTCTAAAACACAGGTTCCAGGCTAACCTGCCCAATGACTCCAACCCGCCTTCCTGCAGGGCCTTTCCAGGATCTCTGGACAGGGGTTTCCCAGGCAAAGCCCGTATGCAGAGACTAAATAAACCCCGAATTCAAATTCTTCCAATGTGCAAACAGGAGTAAAAGGCAGCAAGAACCATAAAAACCCAGGAACAGAACATGAAGAGAATTTAACAATCCCCTCGCAGCTGACTCCCATGGAGACTGACAACTGCTCCTCCACATCTGCTCAGCCTCTTCCATCTTTCTTTAGAGTATACTCTGCTTGCTAAATAAACTTATGCTTAAATTGCCAAACAAAAAATAAAGCCAACCAGCACTGACCACAAGCTGTTGGGTAAGTATATGTCCGCCTCCCCCAATCATGCAAAGATCATGCCTTAAATATTCTTGTATTGAGCAGAGAGACACACTCACAGGTATCAACAAACTATGTGAATGATTTCATTTCCCACGTAACAGTCAAGGTTGGAAACACTTCTTGTTTCCCAATTAGCCATAGGAAAGATCTTTCAGGCACGGTGGGTGCTTTGCCATCTTTTCCATAAACCAATCCCAATAATAGCTCAAGAGGGTGAATAAAGTCACTTACCGGCTTGAAAATGGCCTCATAGGACTCATCATCAATCCCATCGCGGAGTGGGTAGTTAACAGCATAATACTTGCCTTTGCCAGCCCCAATATCCTAATCAAAAGGGACAGTAAAATAAAATTGAAAGATAAAACTAGAGGGAAATCCTAAGGAAAGAAACAGTGGTTTAAGAGAGACAAGCTGAGCCCCGCTCACATCTCTAAAATACACCACTAAGCCTGCACTGGGCCCAAGGGTTCTTTATGGAGGCAGAGAGTGAATCGTCTACCCCACAGCACAAGATTTCTGCTTTTGGTCTGAGGTTTCTACCTCAGACGAGGTAGATGGACCAGTATTGGAAGAAAGATTTTTCTAACTAACTTCAGAATAGTAAAAGCTCACATATTCTAAAGTTTGCCATATCAAGCCCGGCATAATAGCACATGGTTTTAATCCCAGCACTCAGGAGGCAGAGGCAGGTGGATCTCTGTGAGTTCAAGGCCAGCCTGGTCTACATAGTGAGTTCCAGGCCAGCTTGGGCTACAGGGAGACCCTGTCTCAAAATGACCAATACTAATATAATTAGTACCACTTTTTACCTCAGGGTTCCTGGCATGGCAATTTACATCTTACTGTATTCATGCTAACAGAAGCAAATGGAGTAGCTTCAGCAGGGGAACATGTTCATTAATTGTTCTATATAAAATTCTAAGTTTCAGGACTAGAAAGTTTGCCGGTGGTTAAGAGCACTGGCTGCTCTTGCAGAGGACCTAGGTTCAATTCCCAGCACCCACATGGCAGCTAACAATCACCTGTAGTTCCAGGGGAATCTGACGCTCTCTCTGGCCTCTGTGGGCATTACAAAACATGGATGCGCTTATTACACGCAGGCAATACACTCATATACATATACATACATACACACACACATTTAACATATGGCCAAGGGGTAAGATGACCTAAAGAAATGAAGAATCCTTGAGATGGTTCCTAAGAGTCCTAATTCCTCACTCCAAATTCAAATATTGATATACTGAAGGTGAGGTGGATGGTCCTTAAAGGGAGTTCTCACCCGTAGGTCACCAGTTCCTGGGAAGTACTCTCCATATTTATGAAAGGACACAGTCATGACCCGGTCTGTGGTATAGAAGGCCTCTTCCACACCGTCACCATGATGAATATCGATGTCAATATACAGCACCCTTTGGTGATACCTAGAATCAGAAGGTGGTCAGGAGTCTGGGGATTCTTGGGATGGGACGCGCCAAGGGCGCCAGGTCCCAGCTTACCAGGCTAGCTGCCTCCCTCAGGTATCTCTAAGCACCAGAGACGTGGAAAATGGCTGAAGGAAGGTGGAAGAGCAGCCGGTGTCTCCAGAGGCCTGACCAAGCTGACCAAGTCCGATCTTCCTACTCTACAGCCAGGGTCAACTCCAGCCACACAGGGATACTCTGGAGGCAGGATCTGAGCAGCACCTGCCCCTGATCTTGCCGTGGGCTCAGATCAAACCAAGACCCCGTCAAGGAGAGGATGGCCAGAGACACTCATGGAACATACCCTAACCAGCATACCATAAGAAAAGCAAACTAGGGAGGCAAGCCCAAGGGGAAAGGGAAGTGGGAACCTGGCCTAAGGTGCTCCTCCAAGACACAAGGCCAAGCAGGCATACTTTAGCAATTCCAGGATGGCCAAGACGATATCATTGACATAACAGAAGCCAGATGCTTCAGACTTCTTTGCATGATGTAGGCCTCCAGCCCAATTCACAGCGATGTCCGTCTGCTGCTTATTAAGTTTCACAGCACTTGCTAGGTGTGGAAAGAGAACATAAGACTGTTACTAAAGTCCCCCTTTCCTTCAAGAAGCCCAAAGAAGCCTTTTCATTGACTTCTAGAAGCTGTATTCCACAGTATAAACTATACTAACTCATAAACCAACCCACTTCTCATTCTAATAGGGAATAAAAATGAATCTCCGCCTGCCTCTGCCCCCCAAGTGTTGGGATTAAGGCATGGACCACCATACCCAGCCCATCTTTTATTTTATATAAAGAAACATCTTTTACAAAAAATAACTTTTTAAAAATTTTTTGTGTATTTCTTTCTTTCTTTTTTTGTCCTTTTGAAACAGGGTCTCCCCTGTAGCCCCAGCTGGCCTGAAACTCGTTATGTTGACCAGGCTGGGCTCAAACTGACAGAGATCTGCCTGTCCTGTCTCTCAAGTGCTGGAATTCACTATGTAGACCAGGCTGGCCTTGAACTCACAGAGATCTGTCCTCAGATGTCCCTCAGTGCAAGTTCATCCACTGGGTTTAGTCAGCCTATTTAGAGTCCCTCCCTTTAAGATCAGCTCTTCCCCACCCAGCAGTAATCAGCTGCCAGTAATTCTTTGACTAAGATTGGGGCCTGCTGCTCATTTTCACAGTTCTGTGCTAGGTGAATCTATTTTTTTTTTTTTTTTTTGTCTTTTTGAGACAGGGTCTCCCTGTAGCTCCAGCTGTCCTGGAACTTACTATGCAGACCAGGCTGGCCTTGAACTCACAGAGATGCACCTGCCTCTGGGATTAAAGGTGTGCACCACCATGCCCAGCTTATTTAATTTTTATTTTATGTGTATGAGTGTATTGCCTGCATGTATGTGAGTGCACCCATGTAGTACAATGCCGTGGAGGTCAGAAGAAGGCTTCAGATTCCCCTGGAACTGGAGTTAAGGATGGTTTGTAGCCGCCATGTGGGTGCTGGGGATCGAACCCAGGTCCTCTGCAAAAACAGTCAGTGCTCTTAACTGCTGAGCCGTCTCTCCAGCCCTGAATCTAGTTTTTAATTATTTATTTTTATTTTATGTGTATGAGGGTAAGTGAACCTGTGTTGTGCAGTGCCCAGGGATGTCAGAAGGCACTGGATATCCTGGAGCTGGAGTTAGACATTTGCCAGCTGCCATGTGGGTGCTGGGAATCAAACCCAAGTCCTCTGCAAGAGCAGCCAATACTCTTAACTGCTAAGCCATCTCTCCAGCTTCAATCTTTACGAAAAGAATTCTCAAACCAAGGATGATAACCCATTAGTAAGCACTAAAACTGACTTAGTGGGCCATATATATATATTTTTTTTCCTGGAGCTGAGGACTGAACCCAGTGCCTTTCACTTGCTAGGGAAGCACTCTACCACTGAGCTAAATCCCCAACCGCCAAACATGAAACAGAGTAAAAAAATATATATATATCAAAGTAACAGTAAGGGTAATTGTTCTTTTGTGCAAACTTTGGTGTCACAGTAAATGAATCAGAATGTGTGGGTGTGCTTGTATGTAGCACATACATACTTGTGTATCCTGGAATGCATTTGTAAAAATATTTCTTTTTTTTCTTTTCTTTTCTTTGGTCTTTTTGAGACAGGGTCTTCCTGTAGCCCCAGTTGGTCTGGAACTCACTATGTAGATCAGGCTGGCCTTGAACTTACAGAGATCCCCATATCTCTGAGCGCTGGGATTAAAGGCATGTGCCACTACCCTTGGCTGGCTGTAAAAATATTTCTTGTTGTGGGACACAGCCAAAAAAAATTGGGAAAGATACTAAAGATAGGGCTGATTCAAAGGAGAGACAAATCCCCATCTCTGTGCATGAGGGTGGTGGTAACTTCATGAAGGCTTGGAGCAGCCCACATGATCCAGCAAGACCAACTTTATCAAGGTAGGTGCATAACATGCAGTAATAATTAGAAAGCACACTGCAGAATACAACACACAAGAAATTTTAAGCCAGCCGTGGTGGCACATGACCATAATCAAGGAGGAGGTGGAGACCCGGTTGAGTCCGGGTCACATGAGTTCTAGGTCATCCCAGGCTAGTGTGACACCTACCTCAAAAACAACAAAGGGCCGGGCGTGGTGGTGCACACCTTTAAACCCAGCGCTCTGGAGGCAGAGGCAGGTGGATCTCTGAGTTCAAAGCCTACAAAGTGAGTGCTAGGACAGCTAGGGCTACAGGGAGACCCTGTCTAAAAAGACCCAAAAAAAAACAAAAAAAAAACAAAAACAAAAAAAAACAATAAAGGACAAGCCAGGGTGGCACACACCTTTAATCCCAGCACTTAAGAGGCAGAGGTAGGCGGATCTCTGTGAATTCAAGGCCAGCCTGGTCTACATAGTGACTTCCAGACTAGCTAGGCTATAGGGAGACCCTGTCATAGAGAAAAAGGGATAAATACACAAACACTGAAATAGAAACAGTAATCTACAGTGTGAATCTCCCTGGGTTTGTGTCTTTATTTTCCAAAATTCTATTAGGAGGGAGTTAGATACAATAATCATAGGAAAATGAATACAGCCATGTACTACGTAATGTTTTAGCCAGCAAGAGACCACATATCTAATAGTGTTCTCATAAGATTACCACAGAGCTGAAAAAAGATTTTGGTGTGTTTTTTTTTTGAGGCAGAATTTTGGTGTGTTGGCCTTGAACTGGTCTACATAGCAAGCTCCAGGCCAGCTGAGGCTACAGGGAGACCCTTCTGAAAAAGACCAAAAAATAAATAAATAAATTTACTATAGGCAGTACTCAGGAGGCAGAGACAGGTGATCTCTGTCAGTTCGAGCCAGCCTGGTCTACATACCCAGTTCCAGGCCAGCCAGTGCAACTCAGATTCTGTCTCCAAAAAAAAAAAGTAATAAAGAACAGTCTTATACCAGCAGCCTCATACATCATGTTTACTGCATCTCTTGATTGCATTATTTTTTTTTTTCTGGTATTTGATTTAATCACACACTACTTTATTCACAAAGGCCCTGGGGGCCAATAGGCTATACCATATGTGTAATATACAACCTAGATAATTAATAGGCTATATCATCTAGACACAACCTAGATAACAGGCTATAAAATTTAGATTTATCTATTCTCTATGAATGTTTACATAACAAAACTGAGTAACATTCTCAAAAATGTGATGTGTGGCTACATTTAAGAATTTAAGAGTAGCTGGGCTGGTGGCACACACCTTTGATTCCAGCATTTGGAAGGCAGAGGCAGGTGGATCTCTGTGAGATGGAGGCCAGCCTGATCTACATAGTGAGTTGCAGGCAGCTAGGGCTACAGGGAGACCCTGTCTCAAAACAACCAAAAAGAGTTTAGAGTAATCCTAAAGTTAACCCAAAAGTTACAAGTGGAGATAACTTGTGAGGAGTATTTAGGACCTCTGAACTTAATTACCATGATTTTTCATAAGATACAGATTTGACACTCCCATTTTATAGCACTTTGTTGTCCACAAATTGCTTTTACACAGTGTCTCATCAACCCCTTTACATCTGCAGGGAATCCCTACATATAAACCTTCTGGCAGGAGAGGGCAGTTAAAGGCACCTGTCAGAGCCGGGCATGGTGGTGCACACCTGCAGTCCCAACACTTGGGAGACAGAGGCAGGCGGATCTCTGTGAGTTCAAGGCCAGCCTGGTCTACATAGTGAGTTCCCGGACAGCTAGGGCTACAGGGAGACCCTGTCTCAAAAAGACAAAAAAAAAAAAAAAAGACATCTGTCAGAACTGTGTTAGAGATGTAAAGTAAAAAGCCACAGGACCATTCCCAAATGGTCACAGGACAGTACCACCAGGATTTAGCCTAAAAGGCAGACCTCACTACAGGAATCCAGCACAGCCCTTGAGGAGGGATTTAGTTTCCTTACCCACAGAGCCACCAGTAGACAACTGGCAGAACTCAAACAGGCCATCAAATACGGGACAGTCCTCACCAACGTTGACTTGAAAGAAATGAACAGAAGATTAGTTTCCACAGTTTCTTTCAGCTTTTGTTTAGATATTTATGAGCTGATGGAAAAAAAAAAAAAAAAAAAAAAACCCACGAACAATTTAGATTCAGAAGGCTTGGGTTCCAGTCTGGTTAGCTTGGCGCTTTAGGTAATAGCAATGATGATATCCACCTTAACCAGTCCTTGAGAAAACTCCCGAGAATCTTCCTGGGTTTGTTTCTGGCCCTGACACCACCAGCTGACCAATAAAGAAGTGAAGAGAGATCTGTTTAATCACCGACTCCTGAGTGCTTACCACATGCCTTACACGAAGGAGTGCTTTAAATGCCTGATGCATTTATCCTCATGCAAGCTTCTATAGCATTTGGTCCAATCCTATAAGTAAATGGGCTCTGAAAGGTGATGTGAAGCAAGACCTACATAATTATCACGTGCCATACGCTGCTAGATGATTGAAATACTTGATGCATTTATCCTCACACAATCTTCTGAGGTAGAATTTGGTCCACTCCTATAAACGGGGAAATGGGCTCAGAGAGGTGAACTGCTAAGAAATGGCAGAGGCAATATTCAAACCTCAAGCTTTGGTCTGTTTGTCCTAAAGGCCTAAGAAAATATATCCCGGTCTTTTCCCAAGTGCTTTCACACACACAATCTCATTTGATCCTTACGACATCCCATGAACTAGCCAAAACAGATATGACACCCCTGTGCACAGGAACATAAGACATGCAGGGAAGTTGAGTGACTTGCCCAAAGTTATGTAACCAGGTAGCATCAGAATCAGAATAGAATCTAGGTGTCTTGACTACCACAGCCCAGTGCTCTTGACTACACTCCGAAGTGACAATCGGAAGAGTTATTTCAAGCCTAAGCCTATGGGGTAAAAGTACAAAGTGGTACAATAATGTGGAAACACATGCAAACAGTAATGCAAATGAAACAAAACAGGAAGGAAAGCACACCTGGAGGGCGGAGCCTCAGTTAGATGGGGACCCGGGGACTCTCTGCACTCACAGAAAAGGAAATTCCTGACTTCAATGGCACCCAAAGTTAAAGACAGGAGTGGGCAGATCCTCCTCTTGCTCCAGTATTTTTACTGCACCTGCGTCATTCCCAAAGTAGGGAATGGGAAGAGGCTGGGAAGGGCAGGCTGAATGTGGTAACATCCAGACACAGAATCTCAGAATTTGCAATAACCTCAAGAGTTACCAGCTCCAGGACAAGATAATTCAGTGGGTAAAAGTGCTTGTTATGCAAGCTTGGTGACCTGAGTTCAACACCTGGAACCCACAAAAAAGTGGAAGGGGGGAAAGCACTGAGGCTCCATGAAGTTGTCCTCTGATCTCTCTCCATGCATTGGGGCTTGTATGCTCCGCCTCCCTTTATACACACACAAAAAGTATTAATAAAAAGATTTTAATTCAAATTTAAAACAGAGTTACCAACCCCAGTGCTACTGTAACTTGGAGAGTTCTCAAAATCTGGTGCTCTGAGGGAGTGGGCAGTGGGTGGCTCCTCTTGCTTTCTTGGTAAACACTGGGAGGTGGCTGTATCAGTAAGAACTTTGGTCCCTGGAGCCAGACTATTTATCCATTGGCAGTGTACTTTCCTGTCTGGCTGTTTCCTCCTACACTATGTTAGTACTTGAGTTTCCACAGGTTGGTTTATACTCCCAAGTGGGGTATGATTAGGTGTTTTAGACAGGAGGAAAAACTTCCCGTAAGGACATGATTCAACATGTAGCTCAAACTGCTAGCCCCATTTATTGTCAATTTAAGAAATTATGGGAACTTGGAGGATGGTGGCCCAGGTCTTTAATCCCAGTAGAGGCAGGTGGAGCGCTGAGAGATTGAGGCCTGCCTGGTCTATATAGTGAGTTCTAGGCCAGCTGGAGATACAGGGATACCCTATCTAAAAAAAGAAGAAGAAGAAGAAAAAAAATTACAGGGCTGTAGAGATGCTCAAGTAGTTAAGAATGCATACTGTTCTTGTAGAGGACCCAAGTTCAGTTCCCAGCACCCACACTGAGTGGCTCACAACCACCTGTAACTCAGGTCCAGGGGATTCATCTTGCCTCTGTGGGTACCTGTACTCACATATTCCTCTACACACACTCAAAAATAAATCTTAGCCGGATGTGGTGGCACACGCCTTTAGTCCCAGAACTCGGGAGGCAGAGACAGGCAGATCTCTGTGAGTTCGAGGTCAGCCTGGTCTACATAGTGAGTTCCAGGCCAGCTGGGGCTACTGGGAGAACCTGTTTCAAAAAGACAAAAATCAATCAATAAATAAATAAATCTTAAAAAGTTATGGAACTGGGCCGGGTGTGGTGGCACACACCTTTAATCCCAGCACTCAAGAAGCAGAGGCAGGTGGATCTCTGTGAGTTCAAGGCCAGCCTGAGAGTACAGGGAGACCCTGTCTCAAAATGACCACACACAAAAAAGTTATGGAGCTGGACATAGTGGTTCAAGTCTGTAACTAACACTTGGAAGAGGAGGAAAAATGATGAGGAATTCAAGGTCTTCCTCAGTTACATGATGAGTTCAAGTCCAGCCTGGATTACATGGGACTCTGTCTTTAAAAAAAAGGGGGGGGGGGCCCTGTGGAGAGATGGCTCACTAATTAAGAGCACTGGCTGCTCTTGCAGAGAACCCAGGTTCAATTCCCAGAACCCACATGGTGGATAACAACAGTCCGTAACTCCAGTCCCTGGGGATCCGATGGTCTCTTCTGACCTCTGAGGGCACTGTATGACAGGGGTGCACTTACATACATGCAGGCAAAACACTCAATACACATAAATAAAATCTTTTTAAAAAGGAAGAAGGCAGCAGGAGCTTTGGAGATGGACATGGTGGTACATGCCAGCAATACCAGCACTTGAAAGGCAAGAGGATCGCTGAGAGTTTGAAGCCAGTATGGTCTACACAGTGAGTTCCAGTCAGGGCTATAGTATCAAACCTTGTCTCAACAACCAAGCATTTGGCAGTATCACAGAAGAGATGTATAGGATTAAACACTAACTTCAGAATACAACTTACACCTGGCAATGGAAGGAAAAGAACCAGAAGTAGTGGGGAAGAGAACAGAGACCCAAGAACAAGAAGCAAGCAGAGCCCAGGTCATCACCTGTACCTGACCAGCTTTTCTTTGGGCTGTGTGGAATATGGACAAACATTATTTTTTATATTTGTTTTTCTGTTTTGAGACAGGGTCTCACTATGTTATCGGTCCAGTCTTGAACTAGAGGTAATCTTGGCTCAGCCTGCCAAGTGTTGGGATTACAGGCAAAGTCACTAAGCTTAGTTGTTTTTTACTATTTTCTTTTTTTGTCTTTTTGAGACAGGGTCTCCCTATAGCCCCAGCTGGCCTGGAACTTGCTATGTAGACCAGGCTGGCCTTGAACTCACAGGTATCTTGAGTGCTGGGATTAAAGGCGTATGCCACCATGCCCAGCTTGTTTTTTTACTATTTTTGATTGTCTGAAATAATTATATTTACTATACTGAAAATATAGTCATCCCTAAGTATCAAAGAGGAACTAGTTCCAGGACACGCCTCAGAGACCAAAATGGTCAAGTCCCTTGTAAAAAGCAGCAATGGGGCTAGAGAGATGGCTCAGTGGTTTAGAGCATGGACTGCTATTGCTGAGGACAGGGGTTCAGTTCCCAGCACCCACACAGTGGCTAACAACCATCTATAACTCTAGTTCCAGGGGAACTGTTGCCCTCTTCTGACCTCCACGGGCATTGCAGGACATGTGTGCACTTATACACAAGTAGGCAATACACTCATTTACATAAAAAAAAGTATTTAAAAAATAAAAAGCAGCAGCATCTTTTCATTATGTTGCCCAAGGTGGCCTTAAATTCCTAAACTAAGGTGATCCTTCTGCCTCAGCCTTTTTTTGAGACAGGGTCTCACTATGTAGCCCTGGCAAGACTAGAATTCACTGTGTAGACCAGGTTAGCCTTGAACACATAGAGATCATCTGCCTACTTCTGCCTTTTGAGTGCTAGGACTAATGGCATGCACCACCATACCCAACCTGCCTCAGCATAACTCACAGAGATTCACCTACCTCTGTCTCCCAAGTGCTAGGGTTAAAGGCGTGTACCACCATGCCTGGCTTGCCTCAGCACCTTAAGTGCTGGGGACTACAGGTATGGGCCGTCATGCCAATGCCTGTATTTTAAATAATCTCTACAATAGTTATACCTAATACAGGCAGTTGCCTATATTAACCCACAATGCTAAAGCAGCATGCACAAGACCTGTACAGACCCAAGCCAGAAAAAACCTGGCATGGATAAGGAAGGGGGTCAGGAAGCCCCAGGCATAGCTGAGGAACTACTGGCAATTAACAGCTGCTGGGAGAGGAGACTCGGTTTTCTTTAAGGGTGAGACACTGGGAAGGCTGACCAGGCTCCAAGAGCCAGACACACACCCAAGGGCATACAAATTTGGGGAAACTAAATTAAACTCAAAAGACAGACAAAAAACAGGTACAAGAAGTAGGGGACATAGAAAAGTGGGAGTGAAGTGTTCTGAATATGATCAAAATACATTGTACAGAATTCTCAAAGAATCATAAATTTTTTTTTCTTTTAGAACAATTTTATTAGAATTTTAAGGAAAATCTTCAGAACAGGGGAGCTGGCAATCTCACTAGCTGCCTTGAGGAGTAGAAAGGAGGGGAGAGGGAAAGAAAGCCATGAAGCCATGCAGGTTTAGAACCTGCATGGAGGTCAGAATGGCTGGGAGAAGGAGCTTTAGAGAAAAAGTAAAGAATTACAAGATGCTAGGGTAGCCCAAAGCATTAAAGAAAGCATGTTAGAAAAGGGATAGGATAGGACAGGCTGGGCGTGGTGGCACTCCCCTTTAATTCCAGCACTTGGGAGGCAGAGGCAGGCAGATCTTTTTGAGTTCAAGGCCAGCCTGGTCTACATAGTGCATTCCAGGACAGCTGGGGCTACAGGGAGACCCTGTCTCAAAAAGACAAGAAGAAAAAAAAAGAAAGAAAGAAAGAAAGAAAGAAAGAAAGAAAGAAAGGAAGGAAGGAAGGAAGGAAGGAAGGAAAGAAAAGGGATAGGAAGAAGAAAAAAGAGAGATTCTGCTTTTCCACAGAATTCAGAAAAGTGGGCAGATTCACAGAGACCTGCACGTCTGCCGCTGGGTCCAGAAGCTCTGCCCAACAAAAATATTCTAAATATGTAACACAATGTTGTATAAATAGTTGTTCTAGCACACTGTCTAGAGACTGACAAGAAAGTCTGTTAATATCCAATACAAATGCTTCACTTTGCTTTTAAGACAAAGTTGTACTATATATCCCAGACTGGCCTTGAAAACTCCATCTTCCTGCCTCCCCAGTACTTGCTACACCTAGCAAGAACAGACTTTTCCAGAAGAGGACATCAAATCCCCTAGAAATGGAGTTACAGATGGTTGTTAGCTGCAATGTGGGTGCTGGGAACTAAACCTGGATCCTCTGTAAGAGTAGACAATACTCCTACCACTGGGCCATCTCTCCAGCTCCATCCTTTTTCTTCTTGTTTTTAAATCCATGGCAGTTGAAAAATAGATGTGGAATACAGGTACAATGAAGACTGTACTCCAGAATCCAGAGCCTAGAGTCCATTCTCTACTACCACCTTGCTATGACTCTGGGAAAATCATTTTATCTCCCTGGATCTCAGTTTATAAAATGACAAGAATGTTATTCTATGTTTTAAGCATTCTTAATCCTTTTCATCGTGTTTTTCAACCATGAGTCACACGTTCTGATTATATGATCCCAAAATTACATTTATTCATGTTCCCATTTTGACTTAATAAATATTAGTGTAGAACTTCTGATCAAGGCTCTCAAATTGATGATACAGAGTTTACATTTGAGCCAAGATCAACTGACTTACTTGGTATTAACAGGTGTAACTTCCCAGGTTAGATGTTAATAAATACTAAAAAAAGAGCTCTTAGATTTCTGTTACTGTCTTGGTAATAAAGCACTTCCCCAAGAGACACCTGAAGTCTTTGCCTCCTTTGACCCTTTGTAACACTACAAATCAAGTCAGTAAGGCACCATGCGGTCTTTACAGAGTCTCATCCTTTCCAACTTTATTTGCAATGAGAGAAAATCACATACTAATTTTTTAATGCACAACTTTAGAAAGCTAGTTTCAGGGAAATTGGAGTCCTGGAATTCCTGAGGGCCTACTATTTTGTCTGCCATGACAGATTTGTAAATAATGAAAGTAACTCTTAATACCAGAAAGCTACTATTCACTGAGGGTAAATACTACAAATACATTATCCTCAAACATGAAACAGGTAAGTCTTCCTCTTAAAGAGGCAAGAAGATTTACTCAAGAACTTATAATAAGGCCAGCAAAATAACTCGGTGGTTAAAAGTGCTTGCCATGAAAACCAGACAACTTGAGTTCAAGCCCTAGAACCCATGGTAGGAGAACCTGGGAACCTGCTCCTAAAAGGTGTCCTCTGATCTACACACACACACACACACACACACACACACACACAAACAAACACACAAAGAGGCACAAGAACAAGACAACAACGGTGACAGCGATGATGAAGATAGTTTTAAAAAGGGTGGTGAACGCCTGTAGTTCCAGCACTTGGGAGGCAGAGGCAAGCAGATCTCTGTGAGTTCAAGGCCAGCCTGGTCTACATAGTGAGTTCCAGGCCAGCTGGGGCCACAGGGAGACCCTGTCTCAAAGACAGGGAAAACAAAAGGAACACAAAGAACAGGAGAAGTAGCTCAGTGGTATGGCACTTGTCCAGCATGCTTGAGGCTCTAGGTTCAAGTACAAACACGCACACCTAAAATGGACTAAGTCGCAGTTTTAAGCACTCAAATTAAGGCAAGAAGGCTTATTTTCTTGCTTTGATAAAAAGCTGATTCTCTAACAGAGCCTATTTTGAGGAAAACTGAGCGTGATCATGGCCTTAAATGTTTTACTGAAACCCCTAAAGCCATCTCCAAAAAAGGATGAATCTATCTACCTATGAAGTCAAAAAGTAAAACACTTCAGGCTGGGTGTGGCAGTGCACATGCTTAATCTTAGCACTTGAGAAGCAGAGGCAGGCAGATCTCTGTGAACTCAACACCAGCCTGGTATACATAATGAATTCCAGGCCAGCAGGGGCTTTAGGGGGACCCAGTCTCAAAAAAAAAAAAAAAAAAAAAAAGCCATGAGCTGTAGCAGTAGTTCCTGGTGTTATAGGTAGTAAAGTTTCAAGGAAGATGTCTGGAGTTCTATCATCAGTACCACTGAATAGTTAATGTAACTAGTAAATTTTACATCTGTCTTTTGCCCTTCCATATTCTACAAGACACCATCTTCTATTAGAAGCACAGAGCAGGACCTAATCAGACACTAAACCTGATGGCACCTTGATCTTGGACTTCCAACCTCCAAAACCATGAGAAATAAATTTATATGGCTTATAAAATTTTTTAATTTAATTTTTTTATGTGTATGCATGTACTGCCTGCATGTAGGTAAGTGCACCCACGTTGCAAAATGCCCGAGGTCAGAAGAGGCTGTCGGATCCCCTGGGACTGGAGTTACAGACAAGTTGCTAGCTGCCACGTGGGTGCTGGGATTCGAACTCGGGTCTTATTCAGGAACAACCAATGTTCTTAACCACTGAGCCATCTCTCCAGCCCCTAGTTTATAAATTAAAATAATGATGCTGGGCGTGGTGGCACATGCCTTTAATCCCAGCACTCCAGAGGCAGAGGCAGGCGATCTCTGAGATCGAGGCCAGCCTGGGAGACCCTGTCTCAAAAAGACCAAAAAAAAAAGATAGTAATATTTACTTCCTTGGGAAGCATATTACCTTGTGGCCAGTAGTAATAAACAAGTATCATGGATTTTCTTTCTTTTATTTTATTTGAGGGGGAAGGACAGACACGCCATTGTGTACATGTGGAAGTCAGAGGACAACTTGGAGATATCAGTACTTTCTTTCCACCATGTGGGTCTCAGGATCAAACTCAGCTTGTCAGACAAGGCAGGAAACACTCTTCCATGCTAAGCCATCTGGCCAGCCAAGAACCGCAGATTTTCTGCTATTACAATATAAACTGTCATAAGCTTATAAAAAGTTCTCAACGTACTACTTCATGTTTTACAGTTTGAGGACTTAGGTAGCAAAAGAAAACTTCTGAAGTAACACAAGAAGGCTGGCGAGGAGGCTCAGTGGATAAAAGCAACTGCTGCCAAGGTTGGCAACCCCAGACGGATCCGAGACCTCCATGGTGAGAGAACTGACTCTGGGGCCCCCACATACACACCATAGCATGGCACATCCCCAACACCCGCATTTGTGCACACCCAACACAAATTTAAAACATAAATAACACAAGGGAGAATTTGGGTGCAGCAATGGAGTCCCAAATTTGAACAAATGCTTTCCCACAGCTAAAGTAATCATAATTCCTACAAACAAGGTATGGCTTCTAAGATCCACTCTGGAGTCTCAGATCCCAGGGTAAGGAGTAGAATCACCTCATCTCAAAGATTATATCATGGAGAGCCTATCCTTTGTGGCCTCTAAATTCTAAATACCTACAAAGTCAGACCAGTAATAACGCAACAGGATAAGTCACATGACCATGTCCATTCCCCCCCGCCCCCCCGCCACACACACAAAAAAAAACCTGAGGGGAAGTGATAGCACAGTCAGTTAAGAGTAGAGCCTTCTACTCTGCATCTCCCGTCCACTTCTCAGGTCAGGGCTTTTCCTATTACAATTACAGGACATGTGGGACAGTGTCGTAAACCTAACTGGAGAAACCTCTATTATTTATAATCAGGAAAAAAGACGAGAAAAAAACACTTTGGTACTTTTGGGACAAAGGAAATCACATATAAACTGAATTGGAGGCCTAAGGAAAGCGGGGCAGGGCTCCCCAATGGAAAGAGAAACCCAAAAAGGATGCTGGAGTGGGAAAGAAACAGAACAGACTTACATCTCTGCATCTGCTTGCTGTACTCAGACATGTTATCTGGACGAATGGATCGCAAGAATTTAATGTAGTCATCACTGTGGTACTTGGTCATCTCCTCAGCATTGGCTTTGTGAGGGCGCTTAAAGGGCAAAGGGAGAAAGGAAAAATTTTTCTTGGTCACTGGCAAGCTTCACTAGTTCACTTTATTTTCTCCCCAACATGCAATTAGGTACTAAACAAAAAGAACTAACTTACTACATTTAGGCCTCTTACAATCTATAGAAATAACAAGATTAGCAAAGGAGACTGGGTATTAGAAGACCTAAAACTGCCACCTTAGCTGGGCTAGGTGGTGCACACCTTAAATCCCAGCACTCAGGAGGCAGAGGCAGGTGGATCTCTGTGAGTTCAAAGTCAGCCCGGTCTACATAGTCAGTTCCAGGCCAGCTGGGGCTACAGGGAGACCCTGTCTCAAAAGACCAAAAAAACAGAAAGACCAAGATAAATATATATTTTTTAAAGTTGTCTTTTGTTTCTTTTTGAGGCAGGGTCTTCTTATGTAGTACTGGCTGGCCTGAAACTCACTATATAGACCAGACCCGGAACTCACAAGAGGTACTCTCGTCTCTGCCTCCAGAGTGCTAGAGTTAAATGTGTGTGCCACCACGTCCTGCTTTTTTTTTGGGGGGGGGGGGTGTGCACGGAATTGAACACAAGCCTAGTACATGTTTGTCACTCACTCTGTCAATGAGTTTTATCTCTTTTCCCCCCAAACCATTTTTTTTTATTTTATTTTCTAAGTGAATAAGTATATTGCCTGCATGTGTGTAAGTACGCCTATGTGGTGTAATGCCCACAGATATCAGAAGAGGGAGTTGGATCCCCTGGAACTGTAGTTACAGACAGTTCTTAGCCATCATGTAGGTGCTGATAATCAAACCTCGGTCTTCTACAAGAGCAGCCAGTATTCTAAACCACTGAGCCATCTCTCCATGATCTCTTATTTTTAAACATATACTTCTGGGGCTGGTGAGAGTGGTTAAGAACACTGATTGTGCCAGATGTGGTGGCACACACCACCAATCCCAGCACTTGGGAGGCAGAGGCAGGTGGATCTCTGTGAGTTTGAGGCCAGCCTGGTCTACATAGTGAGTTCCAGGACAGCTGGGGCTACAGGGAGACCCTGTCTCAAAAAGACAAAAAAAAAAAAAAAAAAAAAAAAAAAAAACAATTCGAAGCCCTTGTCTGTCCTTACCTACACACAGGCAATACACTTATATACATAAAATAAAAATGAGTAAAATATTTTAAAAAACATACACTTCTAAAACAATAAAAACAAATATACACATATGTAGCCCGCAATGTAGCCCAGGCTAGTTCTTAACTCTTGACACTCCCACGTAGGTCTCCCCAGTGCTGAGGTTACAGGCGTGTGCCACCATGCTTGGCTACATCCACAATCTTCATTGCATCTGACGCACTGGTTTCTCCTATGGTCCCTCTTTCCCAAGTTTCCTGCATTTTCTTTGTTTGGTTTTGTTTTTCAGACAGTGTCTTACTATATAGCCTTGGCTGGCCTGGAACTCAGAGATCCATCTGCCTCTGCCTCCTGAGTACTAGCATTAAAGTGTGTGCACCACACTGAGCTGAGAGTATCACTGTGACTCTTCATCTACCGCAGTAGACTAAACTGCCAGCAATGCAGCTGTTAAGCTTGTGTCTTTTCACATACCCAGGTCATCATCTTTTGGGCTTGGATTGTGGCAGTAGTCTCCAAACTGGCATGTCAGACAGTTGACCTTAACAACCGTAAATCAATTCTCAAGCCTACAGGCAGAGTAACTGGTCTCTACTTTAAAACATGAATTGAATTCTATTGCTCCCTTTTCCAAGCACGTTAGGGATTGGGCATGGTGGCTCATGACAGCAGTCCCAGCACTTGGGAAGATAAAGAGGCATGCATGCCACCATATCGAGGGTAGCCTGGTCTTTTTTGTACTTTTGAGACAGGGTCTCATTTTAGGTTGCTTAGTCTGGTCTTGGACCCACTCTAGGGGCTGGCAAGATGGCTCAGCAGTTAAGACCACTGGTTGCTCTTGCAAAGGACTGGGGTTCAATTCTTGCACCCACACTGAAGCAAACTGTAACCCCAGTTCCAGGGGATCAGATACCCTCTTCTGGCCTCTGTATTAAACATACACGATACACTTAACACACATGCAGGCAAAACACATACAGAATAAAAATAAATAACTGAAAACTGAACCCACTGAGCATGGTGGGGCATGCCTTTAATCAGAGGCAGGCAGATCCCCGTGAGTTCAAGGCCAGCCTTGTCTACATAGTGAGTTCTAGGACAGCTGAGACTACAGGGAAACCCTATCTCAAAAAGACCAAAAAAAAAAAAAAAAAAAAAAAAAAAAAAAAAAAAAAGAAAGAAAAAAAGAAAAAAAAACCAACAAAACTGAATCCTGAACCCACTCTACAGTCCACACAACACAGCTGTGACGTTGCAGCAGTCTGCCTATCAGTTATTACAGGCCTGTGCCACCAGGCATGGCTGCCTGTTTTATTTTTAAGATGCCTTTGGATAACCAGAGGCTTATTTACTAATTCTATTAAAGATTATGCCAGGAAATACTAACATACGTGCTTCCATTCACCAATGACTACACTTTGCATGCCGATTTAGATCCAGACTTCCTTCTATCTTGGGCTCCTTCAAATTACACTCTAGAGAAATGAAAATAATCAAAGGATGCCAGGCGTGGTGGCACAGCCTATAGTCCCAGCACTTGGGAGGCAGAGGCAGGCAGATCTCTGTGAGTTCAAGATCAGCCTGGTCTACATATTGAGTTCCAGGACAGTTGGAGCTATAGGGAGACTCTGCTTCAAAAAGACCAAAAAACAACAACAACAAAAAAAAACCCAGAGGCTTATAAGCCTTAAAATTTTCAGACTGGAGACTTGCTCACACATATACGGACATTTGGGGGCTGAAGAGATGGCTCAGTGCTTGAACTCTTGCTGCTCTTAGAAAGGGCCCAAGTTCAGTTCCCAGTGCCCACAGGACAGCTCATGGACAACAGGCACACATGGTACACAAACATACATGCAGGCAAAACATTGATACACATAAAAAAAAAAATCTTTAAAAAAAGGCAGAAAGAGGGCTGGAGAGATGGCTCAGTGGTTAAGAACACTGACTGCTCTTGCATAGGACCTGGGTTAGATTCCAGCACCCACATGGCGGCTACAAGCCATCTTTAACTCCAGTTCCAGGAGAATCCGAAGCCCTCTTCTGACCTCCGCGGCATTGCATGACATGGGTGCACTCACATACATGCAGGCAATACACCCATACACATAAAATATAAAAAAAAAAAATATTTAAAAAATAAAATAAGGGGGCTGGAGAGATGGCTCAGTGGTTAAGAACATTGACTGTTCTTGCAGAAGACCCGGGTTCAAATCCCAGCACCCACATGGCAGCTAACAACTGTCTGTAACTCCAGTCCTAAGGGATCCGACAGCCTCTTCTAACCTCCGCAGGCATTACATGACAAGGATGCACTTACCTACATGCAGGCAATACACACATACACAAAAAATAAAAAAATTTAAAAATTAAAAAAATAAAATAAAAAAGCTGAAAGCAGCATGTGGTGGCACATGCCTTTAATCCCAACACTGGGGAGGCAGAGGCAGACAGATCTCTGTGAGTTCGAGGTCAGCCTGGTCTCCATAGTGAATCCAAGCCAGCTGTGGCTACAGGGAGACCCTGTCTCAAAAAGATTAGATGGATTAGATAGATAGATAGATAGATAGATAGATAGATAGATAGATAGACAGACAGACAGACAAATAAACAAATAAATACCTGAGGCCGGAGAGATGACTCAGGGACTCAGATGACTCTCAGGAGCACTGGCTGCTCCTGCAGAAGACCTGGGTTTGGTTCCCAGCACCCACATGGTGGCTAACAACCATTTGTAACTCCAGTTTCAGGGCATCTGATGCCCTCTTCTGACCTCCAAGGGCATGAGACAGGTGCACTTACATGCAGGCAATACACTCATACACATAAAATATTTCAAATAATAAAGTAAAAAGTCGTGTAGTGGCATGTTCCTTTAATCCCAGCAGAATCAAGAAGCAAGGTGGATCTCTATGAGTTCCAGGTCAGCCTGATGTAAACAGAAAGTTCTAAGATGGCAAGGGCTACACAGCAGACCTTATATCAAAAAACAAAACAAAACAAAAACTACTTTGTGGGTTAAGCAGAACATGTGTGAGGAGCTATATTTCTCTTCTGCACTGCACCAATCTGCCAAGCATGGTTTCATTTGTAATTCCCCAAGGGGTGTATTTCAGCTTGGGCCTCAGCATGGGCTATATATGACCTAGAATAGAACACTGCTCTATTTATACCCTCTACTGTACCTTTAGGGTACAGTTGAAGCCAATTCTCCCACAAAGCTGTTCTTGACCTCAGCTCTCTCTAAAGTGCTCCTGAGAGCTCTGTGCTTCCCTTATCACACTCACTAAACCTCATGGTAAAAAATACATGTGGATTTGGTCTACTCTGGGAGACCAGGAACAGGTCAATTTTACTAAGCACCAATTAGGGTTCCCAACATATAACAACTCAATAAATTAACACTCAGGATCACTTTTGACCTCTTAAATAGCCTTATTAATATCAAACCACATGACTGTCTATGTTCTGTATAACTATCACAATACTAATACAGATGTCAACACCCTACACTAAAATATCCAATAAAGAGCTAGAGAGATGGTCAGCGGTTAAAAGCCCTGTATCTGAAGACCAGAGTTTGGACCTTGGCACCTACATCTAGTGACTTACAAATACCTCTAACTCCAGCTCCAAGGAATCTGATGCTCCCTTCTGTCCTCTGTTGGCACCCATGCACACAGTGTGCAAATACAAATATACCCAGACACATAAAATTTTTAAAATATTCAATGACTTCCAATTGACAAAACAAAATCTAAAATCTTTGAGGTGATCAAGAACTGTGCAAGAGCCAGATATGGTGGTGCACGCCTTTAATCCCAGCACTTGGGAAGCAGAGACAGGTGGATCTCTGTGAGTTCAAGGCCACCCTGGTC